TAAGGTTTGTTGGGACGATGCGGAAATACATACAAACTTACAGTTTCACATTTTGTGTTTTGCAGTTTTTATGAGCATTTTTGTGGTTTTTACAATTACATATAAGGGAAGCAACTTTTTGTGTCCTAAGATAACCTTTCATTAATCATGAATTTACATAACTTCTGTCAAGGGCAGTGTTCCCTGTAGGCTATGTGGCTGCAAAACAACCAATGAAATGCAAGAACTTCTGTGAAGGGCAGTGTTCCCTGTAGGCTATGTGGCTGCAAAACAACCAATCCAATGCCTTGCATTTCATTATTCCAGCCACGCACGTACTCAATAATGGTGAGGAGTCTCAACACGTTGATGGCCTTAATGACCCTGGCAGTCGATAGGCCTAAAGCCCAAATAACCAACTGGTAGCATTGCAAAGTGGCCTAATGATCCAACAGAGTCGATAATATAAAAATACCCCCCCCCCCAGAAAATGTGCACACATCCATACATTTCCTTGATAGGGGGACGAATACGTAAAAGAAGAATTTGAAACTTGTGTTACTTAATAATTCAATGTAATTTTTAAACTTGGGGTTTTGCCACACTTAATACTATTGAATTTTTTTTCTCCGAGAAAAATAAGCTTTGGGTTATATATTACAATACACGAACAACAGTTATCAACGAGATGCCCAAGAGTGAATGAAGTCCAAGTAAAATAACAAGTTAACTTATATTTCAAATAACAGAAATTATAACAAATGTATTATACATAAATATTGAATTAATAAATCTCCATAATGGTACCAAAGGGCCTTTGTTCCATTTTTTATATTGTAAAATTGTACAAATCCAATCATGTTCAACTTGGAAATTCTTTCATATAAATTATATTAAATACTAGCTGTAACCTTTGGCATCGGCTGTAGTTACAACTTCTTACCTTTTTACATTAGGGTTAAAAAAGTTAGGTGCATGAATTATAGTTAGATGTTAGCAGTAGTTATTCCTCAGTAAAGTACCACCAGCATAGATGTTAGCAGTAGTTATTCCTCTGTAAAG